TTTCTATATGTGCTGGTCTACTTATAGCAATTTCTTACATCATTTATTTAACATTTCAATTTCCTTTCTTGCTTCAATTTCCTTTGTTTTTTCAATCTTTAGCACACATTTCTTTACTTTCATTTCAATTTGATGTCTTAATTTCAATTAAGTATTCCCTTTTACAGTAATCTATATATTTATTCCAGTTTGTTTCTTACATACCACTTCTACTACTAATGCCATTCTCTTAAATCAACATCTCATTGCTTTAATTCCTTTCTACTACATTTTTTTCTTCCCCGTTTTAACCATTTTCCTTTACACTCTCCTGAATTCCACTTCTTGATATTTTCTCCCCCTTTTCCCCTTCACTTATTTCTTTCTTCCTCTTCTTCTTTTTGTGTTTATTATATCTGCATCTTTCTTCCTGCATCTTTTCTCTGATTTTTAACTTTATTACCCTTTTAGTTCTCCCCCTTTCTCTTTTCCCATTTCCTTCTCTTTTCTTCTTTTTTGAGAGATATTTCTATTTTTATTTTATCACTGTTAATCTCAGTGTGTTCATCTATATTTTTCCTTCAATTACTTTCTTTCCCACATTATATTCTTGCTTCTCATTTATCTTTTCTCTTTTTTTTGTATTCTATCCAATCCTCCACTTCTTTGTTTCCCTTAAACACATCTCGCACCTTTTGCAACATCTCCCTCAATTCCTCATACTCATGTTCCCAATTGTCCATATTTTCAGTTTAAAAAGAAATAACTTTTAAATTTATTTTTATTTTCACCTATATATAGTTCAAATTCAAGTCCATTTAATGTCTTTTTTGTTTTCTTTCTTCTTTCCAAATAGTATCCAATTCAATTCCTTTAAAGCCTCCCCAGTTCAAGGTTATTTCAAGTTCTTTTTGTAATCTTACTGCAGCTGTTTAAACAAATACTTCCCATACAGCTTCTCATGTTGATTTAAGTGCAATATTTCTTTTCTATCAGCAAATGACTCTCTCCAATCCACAAATCCCCAGTCAAAAGTATCAAATCCACAAAAGTAGTACTTTCTATTCTTCAATTAGTTCCTTTTGTTGTTAAATAAATGCTTTTACTCAATTTGCTTTTCTTTATATTTATTCTTAATTTCTTCCAAGTCCAATTTAAGTCCAGGTGGTTAGTTCTCCTTTTAGGGCTTTTGTTTTTAAAGTCCTCTTTTTCCCCCCCTTTGCTTTAAATTCCCAGATGCCAATTAGCCACTTATTTCAGGTTGGGATCTCTTTCAAAATTTAAAAAAGTTTTTTCTTCTTACCTATGAGTTGGTCAATCACTCATTCGGTAACAATACTCCGTTTCATTATCACTCCTTGTTCTTTTCTACCTTATCTTCTGTGTAGCAAACCTGGCTTTTGATAGCTCCTAAAGACTGTCTTCCCTTGCTGCTGGGTCGGAGGCTGATACAGACACTTCAGGGAGATTGCAACCTCCCTGTTCATGCCTGCCTGTCCATTCTTCACTGTCTCTACAGGACAGTTGTGATCCCTGGGGATCCACTAAAGCAGCTGAGATATCAGCATTTTCCAGGAGCCCCGGAATTTGCTGTACCACCATTGGCACTGGCCACACCCCTCCTCCTAAACTATTATTCTCATAATAGATCCAGTACCCTAAATCTCAGGTGCTTCTAAAGTAATATCTATATAGCAGGGGTGGGTTCTACTTACCTTTACTACTGGTTCACAGCGGGGCCATGCGCGTCTGCTAACTTTGCTCGCATATGCGCACGCTTGTCTGCGCATGTGCAGAAGCATTTTGATGACATCAGGGTTGGTGGGTGGAGCCTTCTGCCGGTTTTACTACCGGTTCTATAGAACCGGTGCGAACTGGGGGCAACCCATCACTGCCATATACTGAGGTGACATTATTTTTTTGAGAAGAGCAAGAATTTCAGTATTTCTGAGCTGCATTTCAACAACACTATCACAGCCAGTTGCTTTAAGAGAAAAGGCCCTGGTAACCACCCATAGAATCTTCTCACAATAGCTACTTTGGGTCGCATCACTTTCTATCTACGTTAAGGGAGAAGTGAAGCCATAAGGTGAGCAGTAAGTTTCCAGAGGCCTCGTATTGGCCTTCCAGCAAGACTGAGGAAAGAAATATTAGGTTCCGGCTTCTCTTTTTTGACATGTTTGAATGAAATTAATCAATAAATGTTAAATAAATGTTATAAGACACCTGGAATTACGTATATGTGAGTTTGGCAATTATATACACTTGTTTAATAAATAAATGAAATGCATGACTATTTCTATCTCCCTATAAACAAACATCGGTGCTAAATAAAATATTTCAATAGGAGGAATACAATGGGTGCAACTAAAAAAAACAGGGTACTGCTTATTCCTAGTATTTGGGAGGTTTCTTATTGTGGCATCCAAATGTAAATGTACTTAGGAATAAAACACACTATATCCTCTGGGGTTCATCTGTGAATTGGTTATACATATCAGGATGCATATTCTTGTATCAAAATGAGAATTGTAACAGGCAGAACACAATATTATCTTGCCTATTGAGATATTTTAACAAGTCTTTTGAGTTTCTGTTTGTTTTTCACTTCTCAACAATCCTGCAATCTTTTCCTCTAGTTTGCCAACTCAGCCTCATCCTGCACATCACAGTACTTTCTGTCCTGAGTAGTATAGCTAATTACTGTACTAGTATGCAGTATTGCAGGCTAACTCTTCCCATGGTCAAAAGTTATACCCTGACTGGCACAAGGTTGGTATACCCTGCCCTTCCAAGGTTGGTATTGCCGCAATATTGTTGAGGGCATTATTCTGACACTATAAACAGCTCAGAGAGTGCTGTAAACCACTGTGGGGTTATATACAAGTCTAAGTGCTATTACTTTTGCTAATTCTGTTGTAAGATACTAGCTTCTTTGACAGAAAGCAATGATTGACTTCTAAATCTGCATTTCCAGTTTCTATTAAACTGAGCTAATATGAAAATGTCATTATATATGTTAACATACATTGGAAAATATGATCCCCCAAACTAAATATATTAAGACAATCTGGAATGTCAGGTATTCATGTGCAAATTCTTATATTCTCTCCATGAATTGCAATATTGCTAGGCTAGATTTTTCAGAAAGGACATACATTTTCTGAGGAAATCTAGACAAACATAGGAAAATCACCTAAAAATAATTGAAGCGTGAACCTAATTTTTCATATCCACTACAGAATACATATCCTGTATTCTAGCAAAGTCACATACATACACATACAAATCTACGGGGGGGGGGGGGGAAATATCCATTCCTTCTTTATATTGTTAGAGAGGAATAATAGTTTTATTGTTTAATGTTTTATTTTAGATTTCATGCTATTTTAATTATATAGTGCTCTAGCAGTGGACTTACTAATTTACCAAGCATTTCCATTACTAAAAAGAGCCATTTGTCCAAAAGTTACTGCAGGTTTTCTGATTATTCTTCAAAGAGTAAATATAGGATCCAATGTAAATACAAATGCAAAAGCAAAACTGAAAAATCTGTTAGAATCAGATAGATGGAAAAATGATAGGAAATTACACCCACATGTATGAAACAGAAACATATAATGAATATGGGGCCTGTTTCGATGGATGAAGTGGACAGGATCATGGGTCGACTGGGTGCCTCCACATGTTTATTGGACCCTTGTCCCTCCTGGCGTGTTTCTGCAGCTACTGATGGTACTTCACCCCAAAGCCACGGATGATCTCGCCTAGTGGCTTCACATAAATGTTGAACAGAAGGGGTGAGAGGATTGACCCCTGAGGCACTCCACATATAAGAGGCCTCGAGGTTGACCTCTGCCTCCCTGCCAACACGAACTGCGACAGGTCTGAGAGAAAGGAGGAGAACCACCAAAACATGGTGCCCCCCATCCCCAACTCTTCCAATCGGTGCAGCATGATACCATGGTCGATGGTATCAAAAGCCGCTGAGAGGTCTAACAGGGCCAGAACAGAGGAGCAACCCCTGTCCCAAGCCCTCCAGAGATCATCTACCAACGCAACCAATGCCGTTTCCGTGCTGTGCCCAGGCCTGAAACCCGACTGGAATGGATCTAGATAAGACGTTTCCTCCAGGTACTGTGGAAACTGTCGTGCGACTACACTCTCGACAACCTTCGCCACAAAGCGAAGGTTGGAGACAGGACGATAGTTGGCTAATACTGCTGGGTCCAGGGAAGGCTTCTTGAGGAGAGGCCTCACCACCGTCTCTTTCAAGGCCATGGGGAAGTAACCCTCACTCAACGAAGCGTTAATAATTCCCTGGAGCCAGCCTCATGTAACCTCCTAGGAAGCCAGTACTAACCAGGAGGAACACGGATCCAGTAAACATGTGGCTGCACTAAGTCTCCCCAGAATCCTGTCCACGTCATCAGGGGTCACAGAGTCAAACTCTTCCCAGATAATGTTCTCAAGACTATTCCTCACCACCCTGCCTGAATCTACCCAGTCAGAGTCCAAATCCCCCCGGATCTGAGTGATTTTGTCATACAGATATTGTCCAAAATCCTCGGCCCTGCCTTCCAAGGGGTCCTCCCGCGCTCCCGGGTGGAGCAGGGAGCGGGTCACCCTGAACAGGGAGGCCGGACGATTCTTTGATGACGCAATAAGAGCGGAAAAATAATTAAACTTTGCCACTTTTATCGCCACTAAGTAGGTCTTAATATGCGACCTTACCAGTGTTCGGTCAGATCCAACTACTACACTGAAAGGCGAGTCTGCTCCCTTTTGTAATAGGGGTTTGGTACTCCAGAACAGGAAAAGGTAAAAAGTTGTTGCTCTTTTGTAGTTTTTCTGCTTCCTTTTCCTATTTGCTACTAGAAATATTTGTTTCTATTGTTGAAGAATAAAATAAGATGATGAGATGATGAGATGTTTGAGACATTAAGTATCTTCTAATGCATTCTGAACTTCAAAAATTCTTAAAGCGAAATACTCCTGACTTGCACACTGAAGCTACTTACGTTTTCTTTGACGTAGCTTCAGTTCCTTCTTCTTCTGAAGCCCTGGTTAAAAGAAAAATTAAAAGCAGAATTTAAGTATTGTTCTGGCAGCAGTTGAATATTTTATCTTCACCTGGTCAGCTTGCCCTAGTCATTTATCTGTTTATTCATTCAATTTAATTGCCACTCATCTTCTTCCTAAGCAAGCCTGGGAGGCTTACACCATAAAAGATAAACATTTCTAAGATTATAGAAACAGTTATAATCAAAGACAAAGTTAATAAATAAAAGATAACTAAAAGATAAAAGATGGAGAAGGAGGAAGGGGGATGCTCAGTGGGGTGGAGGAGGTGGGATTGCCTCTTAATTCACCAGCCACCTCCAGTGTCTCTTGTTGGGGCCCCAAGCCATCTGGCAGAGTCAGGTCTTCAGGTCTAACCTTATGGAAGGTCTGAAGGGTGGGAGACGATCTCACCTCAAGGATAAGTTGCCCCAAAGGGCAAGAGCCACAGCAGAGAAGGTCCTTCTCCTGGACCCTAGCAGCCACAATTCCTTGACTGATGGGGCCTGAAGCTTGCCTCCTCTGCTGATTTGAGTGGGGTGGGCCAGCTTCAATGGGGCAAGACTGTTCCTCAAATAGCCTGGACCTATACCATGCAGAACTTTAACCAACTCTTTGAATTGCACCCAGAAGCAAACCAGCAACCAGGGCAGCTCTTAGAGCAGTGATGTAATCATGGCCATTCTAGGAGCCTCAAGAACTGCCTGTGTTGCAGCAGTTCTCTGCATCAGTTATTGCTTGTATGTAAACTTGCTTTCTGTATGGGTTCCTCATGCACTAGAGCTACCATTTGAGCCTATTCCTTCCAAATACTACTGCTTATGACTTGCTTTTCTTTGCCTCTCCAAATTTTATTTTGTTTATTTATTTATTTATTTATTTATTTATTTATTTATTTATTTATTTATTTTTATTTCTATACCGCCCTTCTCCCGCAGGAGTCAGGGCAGTGCACAGCCAAAATAAAACATCGTATACAAAATTTAAAAAACAATTTAAAAACAATTAAATAATTTTGGCCCAAATAATTTAAAACAACCCAAATTAAAACCGAATCAATTAAAACTGAGAGGACGGGATCAAGCCAGCCCAGCTAGATGGAATAAGTGTGTTTTTAGGGCCCGACGAAAAGTCCGGAGGTCTGATATCGTGCGTATCTTTTATTCATAAGAAGGTTCTCTTTCATCTCACATTGTGGTCTCTTCTGTTGGGCCTAGAGGACAGTCAACCCCATATTTAAGTCTTCTTTTATCTAACTTCCAGTCAGGTTGGAACAGAGTTTTCCGGTAAATGAATTTTACCGGTCAATACACAAAAGCATTGTGCAAGACCTTTCTCCATCCCTATTGTCCCAGCAAACACATCAGTTTTGTAGCATCATTAACTCCATTTACTTACACTAAAGAGAGTGAGAAGATTTCATAAAACCTTTCTTAATGTGCACCAAAATAAATTAAGCCTCCCTGGGAGGGAGGCACTCTCTGCTGCTCAAATTTGGGCAACAAATTATTTTGCCCAGTTTCCCGCACTCAGCTAGAAACTCTCATTTGGGTTTTGGGAGTGGGGCAGTCTGGAAAGAATGCTGCTTTTTGCCTTATAGTTTCAACCAGGTTACTGGGTGATAGAACTAGGAGACATCCTTTGCTTCCCAATTCAGTTCTCCCCAATTTAAATTTTTAATTCAGAATGCTCTTAGAATCTGAAATGAGTTTAGCTACTAAAAATGGACCCTTTATTTTTCCAGATTATTTCGTACTATTACAATACAGGAGGAATTAGGGTGTTACAATTATGCATGCAGTGTATTTTATATTTAGTTTATATATGCAAAGGTTTTTAGGTTTGTAAAATTGTTGATTTTAATTCTGATGAAATTGCAATAGTAACAGTACAAATTAGATGTTGTTTTAAACAAACGCATTACTTAGAAATAAATTGGGGAAAAGTTCTAAGTTAAAGAACAGCCCTTGACAGACTATACTACTCACTCAGTCTTTGTAGTGGTTTCAGTAGTGGGTGTCTCTTTTTCAGACCTGACAAAGAACAGACAAACATTTTAACAGAACAGAACTTAAAAAGAATTCTGCTGCAGCTAAGATTGTCTCCTTCCCAATAAAACAATTTGTATTATTTTATTCGTTTCCTGGTATGATTTGATTGCTTATTAGTAACCTATGACTATCAGTGTTGTATCTTATGATTCTTGATGAATGTATTCTATTTCACTTTTCTTTATGTACACTGAGAGCATATACACCCAAGACAAATTCCTTGTGTGTCCAATCACACTTGGCCAATAAAGAATTCTCCTCTTCTCTTCTCTTCTCTTCTCTTCTCTTCTCTTCTCTTCTCTTCTCGGTCTTCCTACGGACACATTATCCTGGGAAGGATAATGGCTCATTTCTTTTCAAACTTCTTAAAATGCAAGGAAGTTTTAGACTGGATTTTCTCAACCTCAGGAACTTTAAGATGTTAATGGCTGGCTGGCTAGGGAATTTTGGGAGTTGACATCCACTCATCTTAAAGGTTCTATTATTGAGAAACATGCTGTAGATAAATTGTTCTCTGGAACGTGGCTACCATGAGCTCCAATCTATTGGAAAATTTTGTTCTCCTGAGCAAATTAAGCCAAATATTGCTCCATCCCAATTTGCTTGCCTATAGATAGGGCTGGAATTTTGAGCAGCCTCTCCTCTTAGTATAGCAACTATGAAACACAATCAGTTTCTATAAATATGATTAAGAAATTCAATAGCAATAGCACTAAGACTTATATACTGCTTCAAAGTGCTTTACAGAGTCAGGTTTACAGAGTCAGCATATTGCACCCAACAATCTGAGTCCTCATTTTAATGACACTGGAAGGATGGAAGGCTGAGTCAATCTTGAGTCAGTCAGGATTGAACTCCTGGCAGTGAGCAGTTGAGTTAGCCTGAAATACCGCATTCTAACCACTGTGCCATCATGGCTCTTTCATAAACTGAATGAATTAGAATCTATGGGTGGCTCTACCTTCAAGTAAAGGAATACTATCCCACACATATAAGTCTACAGATACTCACAGTTTCTTTGAACTGGCCTTTTTAACAGGCTCTGGAGCTGGAGCTGGAGCGGGAGCGGGAGCGGGAGTGGGAGTGGGAGCAGGAGCTGGAGCCGGAGTCGGAGCCGGAGCCGGAGCCGGAGCCGGAGCTGGAGGTTCAGCTGCTGCTGGTGGGGGTGGTGGCATTATCTCACTAGGAAGATAAAGCAGAAACAGAGATTAATCCAAATTTAACTGGTTAATAAAGAACAAAATTGTGATCTTTTATTTCCTTATGTGAACCCAGTATTTCACAATTTCTCTAAAGGTAGCAACAATTGTGTATTTGCGCATAAGAATTCTAAGATGGTTTTACTGCAAAACCCAGGGCCTCACTATTGTTGAATTTGAAGTCTAGCTTTTCCAAAACGTCTAAGCAGACTCTTCTAGCTTTTTTCAAGCCTTTGATTCTGATATACATTTATTTATTTTATGTATTCTGATTCTGCTTCAGCTTGTTGATTCATAGTTCAGAGTGTGACTTAAAGGATAACTGGGTTAAACTGTTGGACCAGGTGTGGGGAGACCCAAATTCAAATCTCCACAAATGTCATGGAGCCCTCCCAGTAATTTGGAGCCAGTCACTTCCTGAGATAAATCTACCTCACAGGTTTGTTGCTGTTGGAATAAAATGAGTGGGAACTCCCCTGTTCCCACTCATTTTCCCACTCGCCAGCTAGTTTGAATTCAAGTAAGGGTATGGCTAGCTAATGAGAGCTAAATAGCTTGAAATAGATCTATACTAGTCTCCCTTTATTTCTTTATCAGCGAAATATAAATTTGGTATAAAATGGTTTGTTGTGAATGTGACTGCTTGAGGGCTCCTGGATTGGAGTTGAAAGGCAAAAGGGATGTAGTACGCTCCCTCCCACGTGCTGGGGTAGACCAGGTGTCTCGATAGAAAAAACACTTTTAAAAAAAAGTCTGCTCAGTTACTCAATTGTGTTGTAAACAGCACTCTAAGCACTCTAATAATTTGATTTCAACAAAAATGCAGAAGAATTGCTGTGGTGCTCTAAATTTTAAACAGGAAAACAACATTAGTAATAGTTTTGTACTATGTGTAGTAACTCACGTTATTTCCACAGGAAAAGGCTCAGGTATTTCTGGAGATCTGATAAAGAGCAGAAATTACAGACTTTGTTGTTCAACAATAAGATCTATGTTTTTTTTATTTTTTTTTGCAACTTGTATGGTTTGTTCTTCATGTACAGCTTTTGTACATGATGGTTGTAAAGAAACCTATTTTCATAACAATATTACACACATGAGTTCTGTAGTGGTGTATGCCCATGTTTAGAGAAAATAGCCATTGCCAGAAAACCTAACCCTAACCCAGCAAACTACAGAAGCAGTATATGAAGAGAACATCCAAATTTTGCAGTCAACAAGGGCAACATCTGCAATTGTGTACATTTTTCATTCTTGCAGATATGTTGTGGCATTTCTATGGAATGCCAGACTTTTTACCTCTATAAGAAATATTTGTATGGCTGCCCATCTTAAACAAAATTTTGGGTAGTAATAACAATAAAATTAATAAACCAGAAAATAAAACTATTAAACCATAAAATGAAAACAAAAACTAGGCTCCACAGTCATTCCTTTGGGATGTTTCACCACCAGCTTCAGATATTCTTTTCATCCCTGCACTTGGTTTTGCTAAATGTTTTTTTTGGGGGGGGGGAGTGTTCCATAAGGTAGCGACAGCCACAGAAAAAGGCTGAAAAAGACCTCCGACCTCCCACTAGATGGGAAGATTTCAGGAAAGGACCTGGAGCATTCCTACCATATCTGATCTAATAGGAAGAGCAGATACTGTCAGGGAGAAGAGAAAATCCTGCAAATATCCTGATCCCTGCCATGTAGGGATTTAAAGGTGATAACCAAGAGCTTAAATTACCCTCAGAAGAAAACTGGGAGCCAACACAGCTCGTACAACAGAGGTGTAAGATTGGCAAACCTAGGGCTGCATGTGCCACTGCTTTTGAGGCCAGTTGTAGCTTCTGAGTTGCCTTTAAGGGCAGTTGAAGTTATCTTCAAGGGCAGCCCCATGTAAAATGCATTGCAGTGATCTCATTTTGGACAAATCCAAATTTGTTCCAAGAATTTTGTAATAAAAAAGTATAAAGATGTTCTCTAAATTGCAGAATGGGATGATTCCCCCTCTAGCTTTATTTTGGTCATGTCATGCAGGGGAGTTCACTGGAGAATGCAATTACATTTGGAAGAGTCAGTGATTAAAGGAAGCCAGGCTGTCAAAGAACATGGTGGCTGGACACTATCAAAGCCTGACATCAACCAGAGCAGACAAAAACTCAAGGAAGTAGTGCAAGATAGGAAGATGTGGCGAGACCTGGTCCATAGAATTGCCAAGAGTTGGACATGATTAAATGCCTCCTCCTCCTCCTCCTCCTCCTCCTCCTCCTCCTCCCCCTCCTCCCCCTCCTCTTCGTCGTCTTCATCCTCCTTGTCCTCCTCCTCCTTCCCCCCCTTCTCCTCATGATGCTTTGTGAATTTCTTTCTTGTAATTTGTGCCAAAGGGGAAAAAAGAAAAGAAAAATACCTTGCACTTTCACGACTGAATATCACTTCGTCTTCGGAGGATTCTTCATTATGAGATTTATCACTGCTGTATTTTTTCCATACTTTATCAAGATACATATCCTTAAGCCAAGGAGGCTTGTCAAAAGAAGATGCTGAAGTCTAAGCATGAGGAAAGGATGTGAAAAAATGATAATAAAACTTCAGTCTGAGATTTTAATGTTCGTGTTGCATTTTCATTTTATTTATATCTCAGATTCAAATTCCAGATCCTGGAATGGAGGTTGTTCCTGAAGGAATATGTGGCTAGCAAATTAAAGCAAACTTAACTGTGAACTCCTAATTAGGTTACGAGTTTTAGCTCTCTCTTTTTCTATGATAGAGAATTCTGGAATGTATTTTGTACTTCTGCTAATTAGTGTTAGTAGCCAGTAATATTAGTAGTTAGCTGCAGTTTAAAAAATATTAGCATCCCTAAACTTTGCAAGTGTTGTTTGCTTAATATATGTTATTTAATTTGGGTTTAATTATGATGTATGAAATAAATATATGTCTTAATGTTGTATGGAAATAAGACTTTTATCAATTCATCTGGTCATTACAACTCTGGTTTTAGTGGATTGTTACTATTATTCTTATAGGATCTTTTCAAAAGACCTATCTTGCTTCATGCATGCTATCTCCCACATTAATGGGTTTGACAGAACTGGAAAAGATACAGTAGTTGCAAAATCTTCCAAAGCCAAGTTTGTTCATCTTGGTATATTTAATAAGTCACAAATGGTTGTAGCAAAACTTTTCTCCTGAAAAGATACATTAGGAATATTGATAAATACACAAAATACATAAAACTATAAGATATGGTTTCCACATCTGACTCAATACACTTCACTATAATACACAATACAGCCATTGTGATTTATTCCATAAATAATTTTCTGATCATCTAAGTTTGGCACAATGTAGGAATTATGTCATAAAAATGCCTATCAAAATAGTTCAAAATATTGTTTTTTTCCTAAATACTATAGCATATATTTGGACATTTCAAATTGTGAGTTATCTAGAAATTACAGGTGTAGGATAGGCTGGGCTGCAGACCATTGGCTGATACAACAGCCTTCTTCTCATTCTACAGAGAGAAGCTAGAGTGGTTCTGAATTACTTCTACTTGAGCAGAAAATAAGGATGCCTCCTGTTCCTGAAAGCAACTGATTGGCTTACAGGATCCAGAAGAAATGGTGAGAAGCCAGGGAAACTGGCAACTTCAGGAGGAATAGTTTGGAAACTGCCATCTTTGTCCATATTACTGTCAATATGGAGCAATTATCCTGCCTGGCTTAAATCACTTTAAAACTCAATGAATGACTTTAAACAGGAAAGCTATGGTATTTTATGGAGTATAAAACACACATTAGTTTTTGGGGAGGAAAACAAGAAAAAAGTAATTCTGCCTCTGCTTCCCAGCATCCATTGGTATTCATCTGGCTAGTGTCCTTGCAGCAAAGAGCAAACAGCCTGATCAGCTTCAGCACATTATGGCAGCCTGATTCAGTATGAGCAGCTGATTGGTGGTTGGATCGGCCTCCCAGAATACCGCCAATTACTTGTTCCAAGCTGCAGGGATCGCCACAGCCCATTGCCGCTTACATGTGTTGTGTTTTTGGCCTCTGTGTGTCATGTTTTCAGCCTCCGCACGCTCCATTTTAGACCCGTTCCTGGCTGCGGGGATCACCACAGCCCATCACCGCTGATCGCTGCTTCCGCGCATCACATTTTCAGCCTCCACACATGTTTTTGGCCTCTGTGTGTCACGTTTTCGGCCTCCGCATACCCCATTTTTGGCCTCCATGCATCGCATTTTTGGCTGGTTTTTGTTGTAGGCCAAAAACAGGGCATATGGAGGCCAAAAATGTGATGTGCAAAGGCTGAAAACGTGACACGTGGAGGTGGCAATTGGTGGCAATGTGCTGTGGCAATCTCCGTAGCCTGGTCTAAAATGGAGTGTGTGGAAGCTGAAAATGTGATGCATGGAGGCCGAAAATGGCCAAAGGTTGGAGGGCGGGGCTTTGGCAACATTCAGTGTATAAGATGCAGAGATATTTCCACCCATTTTTGGAGGGGGGGGAGTTTTGTCTTATACTCCGAAAAGTATGGTACAGTTAGAGAGATGGCTGGAGACTTCAGTTACCAAGTAAAAGCCAATCTATATTAAACACTGCAATCCAATCCTCAAGCTTACTTAATCAGAAGAAAACCTAATTAATATACTCCCAAAAGGAATTAAACAAACTTAAGTAACATCCAATTCACACATAAGTGATTCCACGCAGCTTGCAAAATTTTAAAAAATCCACCATTGTGACACCTTAAAATGTATTTTTATATAATAATTATAATAATAATAATAATAATAATAATAATAATAATAATAATAATAATTTCTTCTATTTGATAAATATGAAACTCAGTCAACTGAACATTTAAAGATGTGTCATAAATACCATTGACTGGTGCTAATGGTTGATGCAGATTGCTGCCAGCATCCTAGGTATTAACCAAGTATCTTCTTAAAATATATAATGTTCTGACTAGCAGTTTTTTGCAGTTCCACTGGTGTTATTGCAAGAAGCTACAATTTGTTGATGTATCTTATAAAATTCTTGGATATGGTACCAAGTGCCCTGATGACAATGGGTATCACTGATACATGTTTCCTCCATAGGCTTGTAGTTTCGATGGCCAGGTCACAATATTTCATGATTTTGTTCCAGTTGTTTTTTTTCAACTCTGGCATCTCCTGGTACAGCGATATCAATAAACTGCTTCGGCCCTTGACAACCACGATGTCTGGCATGTTGTGTTCCAGATGACGATCCATCTGTATTCAAAAGTCCCACAAGATCTTCACCTTCTCATTTTCTTTAACTTTTTCCAGTTTATGTTCCCATTACTTTTTGGATACAGGTAAATCATATTTTTTACATAATGACCAGTGGATTAATTTAGCAACTTGGTTGTGTCTAGGTTTGTAATCAGTTTGTGCAATTTTGCTGCATTCACATATTAAATGTGAAACAGTTTCGACTTTCTTGTTGCATAGTTGGCAGTTTGGATTGTCAGTGGATTTTTGTATCTTTGCTTTCATGGCATTAGTTGGTAGTGCTTGTTCTTGAGCAGCGTGTATTAAACCTTCTGTTTCTTTCTTGATGGTTCCCATCTTAAGCCATGCCCATGTGAGGTTGTCATCACATGTTCCTTCAATGTTTTTCAAGTGTTGTCCATGCAAAGCTTTGGTTTCCCATCTATTTAATCTGTCATCCAGCTGTTTTTCCTTATATTTTGCCTTTGTTTCTGCTGTTTTTATAATGTTCTCTGTTTTCACAGCCTGCAGCAATTTTTTGTACTTTGTATTATTATTATTATTATTATTATTATTATTATTATTATTATTATTATTTACTTTATTCATTAAACATGAAACTCAGTCAACTGAACATTTAAAAATGCATCACAAATATCATTGACTGGTACTAATGGTTGATACAGGTTGCTGCCAGTGTCCTAGGTATCAACCAAGTACCTTCTTAAGATGTATGATGTTCCAAGTAGCACATTTTTTTGCAGTTCCACTGGTTTTATTGCAGGAAGCTTCAATTTGTTGATGTATCTTATAAAATTCTTGGACATGGTACCAAGTGCCCTGATGACAATGGGTATTACTGTTATATGTTTCATCCATAGCCATGTAGTTTCAATGGCCAGGTTGCAATATTTCATGATTTTTTCCAGTTCTTTTTCTTCGACTGTGGCATCTCCTGGTACCGCGATGTCAATAAATTGTATGTTTCGGTTTTCGTCAACTGTGATATCTGGCATTTTCTGTTCCAAGTGACGATCTGTCTGTATTCGAAAGTCCTACAAGATCTTCACTTTCTCATTCTCTATAACTTTTTCCAATTTAGGTTCCCATGACTCTTTGGATACAGGTAAGATGATAATGATGATTGGTGGTGATGATGATGATTTCAGGCTTTCCTGAGCCACATTTTTAATACCTATGGGAATGTGGAGCCTTATTTTCAGATCCAATAAAAAAATTGAATATAGCCAGATCACCAGTGGTTGCTTCTGCATTTACATACCTGTTTTTCAGGTGTATCTTCCTTCTGTCTATCCAGAAATGTCCTTAAATAATTAAAAAGAAAAATAGTGAAATCTTGGAATGGATACAGTCCTTTTGACAATGTTCAAACCAAATATGGCAACCTTTTCTATACTGGAGGACTATACAAACTCTTATCATTTAATGAAAGATGTATATATTTCTGTTTCTCAAAATGGACTTAAAAGGCTTTTCAGTTGCAAGGCTCTTCTGTGCATGTACAAACTATAACCAGGCAGCAGAAGCCTTAATTGCCTCTTATGCTGAAACACACACCTGCAATTGTCTCCAAAGTTTTAAGAGTGCACATTGCAGGTAACCACGTATCTGTTTGGGGTTTTACTTAATTTTGGCTTCATTAGTGTGCATGTCATCCTGGAAATCTGAATTTTCATCTTTGTTCAGCACTGAAAATAAGTTAAAGTTACCAAGAGGAGAGAGAAAATAAGGAATAAACACCAATTGAGGAATGTAGCAAGGAGCCATGCTAAACATACAAATTCAGCCAGCAAAAAAACAGATTATTTGGTGAAGATTTCAGTGTTTTCAACTTTTAGATGCAGTATCGTTTGAACTAAAATTTGCTTTTTAAGACTGAAACTTATAAGTGCATTGCCACCTAATCTTGAGACTGTTCCTCATAAACAGGATTTTCACAGTAGAGAGTTGCAAATAACTAAGTATCTCCAGGCAAGAATTACCGTTTTACAGGAGGGGTTCCTTCTGTTCCTTTGGTAGTTTGATGACAACAGATCTGTTAAATCCAAAAAAAGAGGTGTGATTGTAAAGGATAAATGTAAAGATTTTTCACACTGAGGAAAAAGAATCAATAACACAGACAATGATGTTATTTACTGCTTCTCAATAAGAAACTTTTATTTTTCTCCATCTTCTGCTTATAAAAAGGTGTGGGGTCTCCAACATGGCCTTGGTAAACCTCACAAGAAGGTCTTATGGAGCAAATCAAGCCAACCAGTCAGACTTTCCTTATCAGAATTGAAGATGGAATGAATCCAAACTTAATACACCCATTTAGTCATGATTTGTCCCCCTCACCAATAATTTTACAAAAATCAATCCCACCCTTTTTTTGAGAATATATTATATTAAATCCTGGCTGCAGTAATGTGGTCTCTGAGTTACGGTGTTCAAAGAAATGTTGGCTCTTCACTAAAGCAGCATTTTGAGAGTTTGGAGAAGTTGGGCTTTGAAATATAGGGGGTAAATAAATTAATATAAGAATCTCTAGAAAAATATTTTAGCTTACCTCAATCAAACAAATTATTAGAATAATAACCACCATTGCCGTTGTCACTGAAACAGCCAACCTCCAATTGAAGCCATTCCCATATTGTCGAATTCCCTGCTTTGGTATCTGCAAAGAGAAGTAAAGTGAAAGATGGGCCTTTGCGTTTTAAAAGCTCTTTTCCCCCAGAAGAAAAGTATATCCAGGCCCATCTACCCTTTAAAGGCAATAACAGTTTTACCAATTCAGTTTTATTAAAATAGTCATATCAGAAATTTCTGATTTAATTCTAATGAACCTCATTTGGTTTTCCTTTGTTTTCATATTTCAGTTACTTTAGCTTTGTGCTATACACCGCTCTGCCCAAGTGCTAATCACAATTTGTAAGAACCTTATATGTTGTTTATCCTTATATAGAGAGATCGGAATCTGGCAGAGAAATAGTCTTGGCACATGCACATTACTATAAATAATCTAACAAGGCTTTTATTCAAAAACAGTAATATCTTTACAGAAATGAATGCACAATTTACATCAAAAGGACCTTCTGAAAAAAAAAGACACATCTACCCTGTTTCCCCCCAAAATAAGACATCCCCTGATAATATGCCCAATTGGGCTTTTGAGCGCATGGCAATAAGGCCAAGCACTTATATCAGAGTTCAAAAAAATATAAGACAGGGTCTTATTTTTGGGGAAACATGGTAGGTAACCAAATCTTGTAATGCTCCTATTAGTGCACCTGTTACGATTATTTATGTAAATTGCTTTTACCTCAGAAGGTTTTTCCATTTTTCTGGAGCTTGCTATAGTCATATTGGTTTCATTTTTAGTCAGCAACAAGTCAGATTTCAACAGAGCAGATGCTTCCTGGTTAGTTTTTCTCTTATTGAGGAGTTTCATTACAAGCCCTATTCTAGAGATGAGAAAATCACAAGACGTCTGGGTAGTTGGTTCTTTGCAGTTCACTTTTATCATACGGATCAAGTGGGCAATTAGGTTCTTCCTAGGCTCATTAAGGATGAGGTGTGTCAACTGTTTTTGCACCTCAGCTTCAAAGACATTGCCCTGAAGAAAAAAGTTATCCGTGCTTGACAAAAAGTCAGATAAAAGGGGATCAGAGGTGGTTTGTTCCTGATACTCCCAATGTGCTTCATTGGACAATGTTTTATCAGGCAACAGTTTGTTCAAAGTTTCAGGTGCCTCAGTAGTAATTCTTGAGTTCCTTCCTCCAATTATTAGGTGTCTGAGGTTTGCCTTTCTTGAGTCCTGAGACTCAAGTTCCTTCTCTAAAAGTTTCTCTGCAATTTGTTTGTTCTGAGTATTTTTCTCTTTCGCCTGCTCACTGGTTACAAGGTGTTTTACATGGCTGGGCCTTGCTGATCTGTTGCCAGATTTCAGAATAATGACCACTTTATTAGGTTTTTCCTCACCACCACTACCTACTACAAAAGAAGTCAAAGGAGGCAGATGAGTTGGAAGATGTAAAATGGAGCGTTTCTGTAAGGAGTGAGTGGGTGCTTGAGGAAGCCTTTTCCCTTGCTCGCCTACAGGTTTTCCAATGATTTTTGCACATCTTCGACTTTTTGTTAGCAACTCCACAAAAAAATCATCTTCCTTTAGATTTCTTCCAAGCTGATGAACATTGTGTATCATTTTTTCATAGATCCTTAAATATTCCAGAAGGCTTTGAATCCCCAGGAGGATGTGACCTGAAGCATCTGAAATTTCTGTAGGCAAGTCTTTTTGAATCTCTAACTCATCAGTTTCCTCTTTGTTTCCTCTTATTATTTCATTGAAAGTCACCTTTGGCCCCTTATTAACCTTCAGAACTCCTGAAATTTCTCTAGTCACTTGCTTCTGCATCTCCAACTCATGAGTTTTGTCTTTGTTTCCTCTTATCTTTTCTTTAAGAGTCACTTTCTGCCTCATATTAAACTTCAGAGCTCCTGAAATTTCTCTAGTCAGTTTCTTCTGCATTTCCAAGTCTTGAGGTTTCTCTTTTTTTCCTCTTATTTTTTCTTTGAGAGTCACCTTGGGTCCTTTATTAACCTTAAGAGCTTCTGAAATTTCTCTAGTCAGTTTCTTCTGCATTTCCAAGTCTTGAGGTTTCTCTTTTTTTCCTCTTATTTTTTCTTTGAGAATCCCTTTCTGCCTTGTATTAAACTTCAGAGCTCCTGAAATTTCTCTAGTCAGTTCCTTCTGCATCTCCAAGTCTTGAATTTTCTCTTTGTTTCCTCTTATTTTTTCTTTGGGAGTCATCTTTGGCCAACTCTTACCCTTCAGAGCTTCTGAAAGTTCTCTAGTCGCTGCCTCCTGCATCTCCAACTCATGAGTTTTCTCTTTATTTCCTCTTATTTTTTCCTTGGGAGTCATCTTCAGCCCCGTATATACCTTCAGAGCTTGTGAAATTTCTCTAGTCACTTCCTTCTGCATCTCCAACTCATGAGTTTTCTCTTTCTTTTCTCTTATTTTATACTTGAGAGTCACCTTCGGCCATCTCTTAACCTTAAGAGTTTTTGAAATTTCTCTAGTCACTTCCTTCTGCATCTCCAACTCATGAGGTTTCTCCTTGTTTCCTCTTATTTTTTCTTTGAGAGTCATCTTCGGCCCCGTGTTTACCTTCAGAGCTTGTGGAATAACTCTAGTCACTTCCTTCTGCATCTCCAACTCATGAGTTTTCTCTTTCTTTCGTCTTATTTTTTCCTTGAGAGTCACCTTTGGCCACCTCTTAAGGGTAAGAGTTTCTGAAATATATCTAGTCACTTCCTTCTGCATCTTCAACTCATGAGGGGTTTCCTTGTTTCCACTTATTTTTTCTTTGAGAGTTATCTTCGGCCCCATATTTACCTTCAGAGCTTGTGAAATTTCTGTAGCAACGTCCTTTTGAATCTCCAACTCATGAGCTTTCACTTTGTTACCTCTTATTTTTCCTTTGAGAATCACCTTCAGTCCCATATTCAACCTCATAGCTTCTGAAATTTTTGTAGTTAAATCCTTTTGGAGTTTCAACTCTTGAGTCTGTTCCTTTTTGGTTATTTTTGCTTTGGGAGCCACTTGTAGGACATTGGATGATTTGTAAAGTTTTTTCAGCAGATTTCCATGAAATCCTGTTCCATCCAAATATTCATGAGGATTTGATTTAGTTAATCTACTCCATAATTTTAAAATTGATGATGTAAGAAATTCAATGGAATGACCAAGTGTCTCCCAAATATGAACATTGTCATACCTAGGATAATTGGTATTCCTTTTGGAATCAATGTTTGAGGGTGGGCATGGAAGTGTGAATCCATCCAACCTTTCAAAAAATACCAGAATTCCAATGACGAAAATTTGGGTCACAAATGGGGCAACACATCTCATGATGCCCATCCTTCTTGCTCCTTTTACCCAAATGAAGGATGCCTTGGAATATTGCAACCAACAATTGAGGTGATTCTATGTGGTTACCAAGCAACCACATGTTATTCCATATGGAGGTTGCAGAATAATGCTACTGCTGTTTAGTTTACCATGATTCGTGACATCATACAATTGCCAAAAACCATGGCAACAATATGGATAGTGGCCTGGCTATCATTCTCCAGCTACTAAAACAAATTACTACACAT